CCAAAAGTAAAGGAACACATTTGCATCTATGAATTATTCTGTTCTTTATTCACTTAACATGGCTTTTAAACTTTGCAATTAAAATGCAGTATAATCAATTCCATCAACTTTTACACATGAATAAGGAAGTACATAAACAAACCAAAAAAAGGCAAAAACATACACTATGCAACACTTTGTTTTCTAAGAAATGATAGGCCTTATAAACAAATGTCCCAAAAACTGACAATATGCATCATAACTTAAATACTTTCATGGCACGAGAGGATCAACAAACTAAGGCACAATTCTGATCAGGAATTGATACTATTGTAATAACACGGGCGCATTTTTTTGTACAAGGCATAGACCAAGATATGATGATACTGTTATTATCAATTTCTAATGTATTATCAACAACGAAACCATTGTTCATAACATGTAATGATTCAAATTAATTGAATCAAACAACAACATAACATAAGCAAAACGAAAATTGCCTAAAAAGTCACAGAACATAGTTATAAGAAATTTCAAGGATGCTAACATACAGTGCTCATTGCACTGACCTTGGAATTTTGTCTAAGAGGAACTATATAAGACTCTACTTCAAAGAGTGAATTATAATGCAGCCACACCAAGCATAGACATAACCACATACCAAATTGAAATGCGAAAAATTCGCTAGGTGGCTCTCTTGAAACTGAAGCTACACACAAGAAGTTCTTCGGCCTTCCGCCACAGCTTCACCCAGGAGAATATAATTACGAATGAAATTGAAATGCAATTTTAGAAATGGAGGCACGAAAAATAAAAATCTGTACTTTGAATCACATAACCCATTCACATCAAAATCTTGTAGTTACCTCGTGAAATAATTGTACTCTTCGCCCCTTGAATTGAATCTTCGATTGATTGTACCTGTTTCTCTTCGCCCCTTGATTTGAATCTTCGATTGATTCTACCTAATGCGCTTCGACCGGCTGGGATGACAGAGATCGCGACAATGGATGCGGGTCGTCAAAGGAAGCTGCTTTGGGATTACCTGTTTCTGCTTCGATTGATGAAAATGTTGATGAAGAGATAGTAATAAAATGATATTGAAGATGAAGATATTGATGAAAATGTTGACGAAAAGATTGTAATAATCGAAGAAAGGAAGGGTCCAATTTTTAGGGTTCTTCACATTTCAAAGATGTTCTTGGGAAAAAGTGTTGTGAATCGTGAGATATCCCATATCATTGTGAGAAGGGCAACTTCGTAAGTTGGGTAGAAATCATTTTTAGGTTTCTAAAACCAAATATTCTTATCATGGCTGGTAAACATACAATAGGATTGGATTAAAATGTTATCATGCTTAGTAAATACGAGTTACAATCTGACGTGGCAATTTCAGTGGATTATTTTGTCTAATCCTGTCCTCGATAGTAAACGAGGCCTTAATATCTATATCTACAAGAACCGACAAATAAAATTAAAATAATAAATTACTCGATTTAAAATATTAAATAACGCAAAACCTAGACTCTGACAACGGCGGAGGGTACGAGAGCCCGTCATCCAACCAAAATAGTTTGGCTATTAGTAAATCCTATCCGTTCGATCATTTGATCCGACGGTTTACCATAAACCCTAATTGACCCAATCTATCTGATTCCACGTATATATATATGAACTCATCTGTTTACAGACCCCTCTCTTCCATATCTCATTTCGCAAGCTCTCTATCAGCAGCCAGCGAGTGAGCGCTTCGTATTCAACTCATCAGATCCAAAGGGTAAGAACTCTGTTCTTCAATCACGGTTCGTTCATTTAGTATCATGGTATGCTGTTTAATTCGTATGTGTATTCGCCGGTACAAATTTATGCTTTCCTAGAATTTATCGGCCGATCGATCTCTCTGTGTATTCACGTTCGTTTGATCTTTGCATCTCTGGTATGTATTTGTTTGGATTAAGGTGTTGTAAGAAAATTGTTTAGCTATATGTTAATCTGACGTGATTTGAATCTGTTTGGATCCGGATTTACATAGCTTGTTGATCTGTTTGTTAAGTGTTGTTATATTAAATCGATCTATCGTAGGTTTCGTCTTTCGTAGGTTTCAAACTATAATGTTCACTATATCATTCATGTGCATATTGATGTAGTTGTAGATTGTTTGATTGATTTTGTTTGAATTGGCTCCTGTTGTTGCATGTGTTGAGCTTTCCTCTTACGTGCCTTTGGAATATGAGTAGTTCTATATTATTGATTTTAAGATCTCTAATTTGGGTGTAAGTGTAAGTAGGCATTTAGGTTCTGATGATCTGTTTGAAACCCTATGCTTTTGTTACATCTTTCTTTTACTAATCTTATTTGCCTTCTGGAATAGAATTTGATGTATTTAATGACACTTCTTGAGTTCAGTTCTCTCCATGCAAACTCACATTTCTTTATTGAAAAATTTTCTTAGCACTTGTATAGATGATTCTCTCTTCTGCTGAACTTGTTAGAGCTCCATTGTGCTTTTGATTTGTACCTCTTCTCACAAATTAGTGTGGTGTGCTGCAGTTTGAACGTTCAGCATGGGGAAAGAGAAGGTTCACATCAACATTGTGGTCATAGGCCATGTCGACTCTGGCAAGTCGACCACCACTGGACATCTCATCTACAAGCTTGGAGGTATCGACAAGCGTGTCATTGAGAGGTTTGAGAAGGAGGCTGCTGAGATGAACAAGAGGTCATTCAAGTATGCCTGGGTGCTCGACAAGCTCAAGGCCGAGCGTGAGCGTGGCATCACAATCGACATTGCCCTTTGGAAATTCGAGACCACCAAGTACTACTGCACGGTCATTGATGCTCCTGGTCACCGTGACTTCATCAAGAATATGATCACTGGCACCTCTCAGGCTGATTGTGCTGTTCTCATCATTGATTCCACGACTGGTGGCTTTGAGGCTGGTATCTCCAAGGATGGCCAGACCCGTGAGCATGCCTTGCTTGCCTTCACCCTTGGAGTTAAGCAGATGATCTGCTGCTGTAACAAGGTTTGTTGATTTTGTTGAATTGTTTTTTCTCTGTTTCCAAGGATTTTTTGTTGTGTTGGGAGTTTTTATAACACTGGTTTTTGGAAATTATGCCAGATGGATGCAACCACACCAAAGTACTCCAAGGCCAGATATGATGAAATTGTTAAGGAGGTCTCGTCTTACCTAAAAAAGGTTGGTTATAACCCTGACAAGATCCCATTTGTCCCTATCTCTGGCTTTGAGGGTGACAACATGATCGAAAGGTCCACCAATCTCGACTGGTACAAGGGCCCGACCCTCCTTGAGGCCCTCGACCTGATCAATGAGCCCAAGAGGCCCTCGGACAAGCCCCTCCGTCTCCCACTTCAGGATGTCTACAAGATTGGTGGCATTGGCACTGTCCCTGTTGGCCGTGTGGAGACTGGTATTTTGAAGCCTGGAATGGTCGTTACATTTGGACCGTCTGGCCTAACCACTGAGGTCAAGTCTGTTGAGATGCACCATGAGGCCATGCAAGAAGCCCTTCCAGGTGATAATGTTGGGTTCAATGTGAAGAATGTTGCTGTGAAGGATTTGAAGCGTGGTTATGTGGCTTCCAACTCAAAGGATGACCCTGCCAAGGAAGCGGCTAACTTTACCTCTCAGGTTATCATCATGAACCACCCTGGGCAGATTGGTCAGGGCTATGCCCCCGTGCTCGATTGCCACACTTCCCACATTGCTGTCAAATTTGCTGAGCTCGTGACCAAGATTGATAGGCGGTCTGGTAAGGAGCTGGAGAAGGAGCCCAAGTTCTTGAAGAATGGTGATGCTGGGTTTGTTAAGATGATTCCGACCAAGCCCATGGTTGTTGAGACTTTTGCTGAGTACCCGCCTCTTGGTCGTTTTGCCGTGCGTGACATGAGGCAGACTGTTGCAGTTGGTGTTATCAAGAGCGTTGAGAAGAAGGATGCTTCTGGTGCTAAGGTTACCAAGGCTGCTGCTAAGAAGGGTGCTAAATGAAGTGTGCTGGTCCATCATGTTGGTTCTGTTTATGCTGCTGCTCAATCAACTATGTACTTGTTGCTTGAGAACTTCGTTTATACTTCTTCTACTATTGTGTTAGACTTCTTGTGTTTGTTATATTTGCCATGTGCCTTGGGAAGCCATTCCCAGAATTGGGTTCTTGACAGGCGGTGGCATTTAGGTGTCTTTTGTTAAATTTTGAACATTTGCATTCAAGAGTGAGTTTAAGTTTGTTTTCAATATCCTGGGTGCCTTGTCTTTTACCTGACTCATGAGAACATTTCGGTGTTTGTCTTGAGGATATTTTTAATTGAGGCATTTGCATTTGATTTCGTTTCGAATATTGTGTTCGTGTCGGACCCTTCTTATATTACTTCAATTTTTATGTGTATCTTGATTGTGTGTTCTGCTACTTCTACTTCCTGGTGGTAATTGAAGAGTTACTTTGATCTTCTAGCAAATGATTACCATATTCACCTTGCTCCTTGTACTTCCTGGTTTGGTAATTGAAGAGTTACTTCGATTTTCTAGCAGATCGTTACCATATGCTGACTTTGTATGCAAAGATATTGTGATTAGTTATCCTTTTGATCATTAATTATTATAAGATATTAGGTGATGCCGAATGGAGGTTTGAGATGTAGCTGACTGTACGCAAATATCTTGTGATTAGTCATACCTTTGATCGTTAGAATACTCATTTTCTTGAATGGGGTTTCATAGTGAAAATGTTCAGTGTAAGTGTAATAAGTATTTCTATTTCATGTCATACCCTAATATCTTGTGATTAGTCATACTTTTGATCGTTATAATACTCATTTTCTTGAATGGGGTTTCATAGTGAAAATGTTCAGTGTAAGTGCAATAAGTATTTCTATTTCATGTCATACCCTAATTTGCCTCCGATCCGTTCTGAGTTGAATAATGGTTTGATCCGTTCCAAGTTGATGTTATTTACGGATTTGTGTTGAATAACATTTGGTTTGATCCGTTCTGAGTTGATGTTATTTACCTTTGGTTTGTTGCGCTCGTTACATCTTGTTCTCTTTTGAATCCCTGGCAGTAAACTAGCTGCACATTTAGTTGAGAAAAAAAAGACACTCATTTTCAGCGAGGTCCCATGAACGGACAAAAAGCTTGGTTTCTCAATATTCATACGGTGGTGAAGACAAAAAAGGATGAAAAAGAGAACTACTTCCAATTTCATAGGTCAGGTGAAGACA